TCAAAATTTGAAAATAAGTGTGCCTGAGGGGAACACGGAGCAAAGCCCCCCAGGCTGTACCCACCGGTCCTCGAAGACATCCAAGGAACTGGTGGACACTGCTCTCGTGCTCTGCCTGGAATCATGCATGGACAAATGACAGGAAAGCAGCACCACAGTTCCTGGGCACCTTCCCAGCCAGAGCCTCCTTCCTGGTCATATACAGGGCCCACTTGTCCAGGGCCAGGAGGTTGACCAGGAGGACCTGGAACTCGGTGGGGCCGTGGATGGGGTGCCCAAAAATAAAAAGGTGGGGGGTGAAGTTCAACCTTAGGATGAGGTTCTGGAGGTGGAGAAGCTGCATCCTGGTGCACTCGAGTGTCATGTGCACCAGGGTCTCCCTCTGCCTGCAGAAGGGGCAGGAGACTGGGGTGTCTGTGAAGCTTGCCACATACATACCCGTGGCAATGGCTCCATGGAGGAGATGCCAGCTGAGGTCCACAGTGGCTCATGGGATGAGGGTGGAGTACAGGCTCAGCCACTGAGGTGCCCCAACTATGCCCTTGCTAAGCAGATCTCACCACTTGTTGTCTGGGTGGGACACAAGGGCGGCATGATGAATCATGCAGCACATGAGTGTGTAGAGGTGGTGGTGATGAACGGTGGAAAAGCAGATTGGTTTGGTGTCCTCCAGCTGGCTCAGGTGGCTGTGTGGGAAGCACCATGAGGCCAGGTGAGGTGCTGGCCCCAAGACAAACACCGGTGTGCTGGAGGACATGGGGGCGGGGGCAGGGACTGCCACTGTGCAGAACCTGGTAAACAAAGGCAAGGGCGTTGGGAGGTAGGGCAGACTTAACCTCGTGGACCAGATGGCAGGTTTCACGTGTCATGGGTAGACCCATGGGCTGGGCCAGTGCAGCAGGGTCCACCCACTCCTGCCTATCATAGTCCAGGAGGTCTCCAATACAGGTGACACCAGCCAGGATAAACCTTTGTCGCAACTGAGGCACCTCTGCCATTGGCACCTCCAGCTGGGGATTCCAGAGGAGAGCCTTGAAGAGCAAGTCAGTGCCTTGGGCAAGTTTCGCAAGGAACTTGGAGGCAGAGACCAGCCTCCAGGCCCAGAGGAGGTCCTGGTAGAAACCTGGCAGCCCTTGGAGGTCCTGCAGGGAGAAGCTCCTCAAGCCAAAGAGCTGCCAGTCATATCAAAGCCCCCAGAAGTGGTGGAGAAAGGTGCACCCCAGGTGGCCTCATCCTGCGTGGCTACTGACACCGTACAGCAGTCACTGCAGGGCCTGAAGGTGGAACGTCAGGATCTGGCTGTGCAGGCAAACCAGGTCCTGGCCTCAATCCCATAAAGGGAGACTCAGGACCTCTCAGCAACCCAGTGCCAAAAAAGCTCCAGTACCCATCTCTGGAGTCTTGCCAGGACCTCAGAGGGCACAGGCAGGGTGTGTAAGTAGTGTCAGAGCATGGACAGGACCATGTGAATCAGCAGCAGCAGTCTTCGATGCAGGGAGAGACCTTAGGAGCCCTGCCCATGCCTGGAGCTGCTCCACCACCCTTGCCTCCAGCTAGTGGCAGTTCTCTGGTGGGGAGGGGTCTGTTGGGGACAGGTAGACCCCCAAGTAAAGCAGCAAGCCCATGCTCCAGTGTATCCCATGGAGTGTGGGTGGGAGTGAGCCCACCTGCCACCCGTCACCCACCACCAGGCCAAAGCTCTTGACCCAGTTGATCTGGGCAGAGGAGGTTGCTGAGTAGGCAGGCCTCCACCCGCACCAGGTCACCTGAGTCCTGGACTGCGAGGAGTATATCGTCAGTGTACACTGACAGGACCAGTAGCACCACCAGCTTCCCAGAGCATCAACCCCACAACCCGCCTCTGCAGGAGGATGAGGAAGGGCTCCACAGCCAAGGTATACAGCTGGCCCAACAGCAGGTAGCATTGATACACCCCTCTCCTGAATGGGATAGGCTCTGTCAGGGTCCAGTTGAACTTGACCAAACACTCTGCAGAGGCATACAGCACCTGAAGAGTCCACATGAAGCAGGGCCTGAAGCCAAAGGCCTGTAGCATGCCTGTGAGGTACCTGTGATCCACTCTATCAAACAACTTCTCCTGGTCCAGGGATAGGAGGGCAAAAGACAGGCCGTCCCAGCTCTAGCTCCAGTAGGTCCTGAACCAGGTACAAGTTGTCGAAGATTCGACATCTGGGCATCATGTATATCTAGTCAGGCTGGACCCTTCCCTCAGCACAGACTGCAGGTGCAGCAAGATGGCCTTCACTGTCACCTTATAGTCCATGTAAAGAGGGACACAAGAAGCCAGTTCCTCAGGTCATGGGAATCCCACTTCTTTGGCAGGAGGATCAGCATGGCCCTCTGGCATGACAGGGGGAGTTCCCCACTTCCCTCAGATTTGGCCCAGACTGCAGCAAAGTTCGGGCTGAGGCTATCCCAGAAAGCCCAGTAGAACTCTGTGGTCAGCCTAGTGCCTTGTTGCCAGGCATCAGGTGGAGGGCAGCTGAAAACTCAGCCAAAGTGAGAGGAGCCTCCAGCCAGTCCTGGTTGCCCACGCTGACCTGCAGAAGTCCCTCCCACAGGATCTGATAGGCTTCAGCATCGGTCAGAACGAGGGAGAAGAGCTCTTTGTAGAAGGCCCGCACATGCTGGCACATCTCACCTGGATCCATGATGGGGATGCTGTCACTTGCTAGAAGGCAGGCGATGTACTTCTTGGCCTCCCGCCTCCTCTCCAGGGCATAGAAGCAGGAAAGGCTGAGGGAACTGGGCTTATTTAGTCTGGAGAAGAGAAGACTGAGGGGGCATTTAATAGTAACCTGCAACTACCAGAAGGGGGGATCCAAAGACAATAGAGCTGGACTGTTCTCAGTGGTGGCAGATGACAGAACAAGGAGCAATGGTCTCAAGTTGCAGCAATAGAAATTTAGATTAGATATTAGGGAAAAATAGCCATTAGGAGGGTAGTAAAGCAGTGGAACAGACTACCCAGAGAGGCTGTGGAATTTCCATCCTTGGAGGTTTTTAATACCCAGCTAGCTAAAGCTTTGTTTGCAACAATATAGTTTGGAATAATTCTGCTTTGAGCAGTGGGTTGGACTAGATTACATCATAAGGACCCTGTCAACCCTATTTTTTTCTGATTTCTATGATTGTGGATTGGTTGGTAAGAATAAGATACATGGCAGCCAAATTATACTTATGTATAGACCCATATATATAGAAACTAGTGCAGTACACTATTTGGCAATAATACATATTTGATAATTCCATCTGCAGAAAGGTCTTCAACACAGGATGAAGAAAACTCTGGTTATGGCCTGTGCTCTTATAGCCCACTGCAGTAGCTCTGCTGCACTTTGCCAGCTCAAGAATCTGCAACTTCAGAATCAAGAGAATGCCGCTGATCTGTCGTAGTGTGGCTTCATATCCAGATCCCAGTTGAAATGGATTCCACTTTCAGACCTGGTACAATTGGTACAATTCCAATTGAAGCCAGGTGACCATACATCCCATTTTACTGGGAAAGTTCCATTTTTAAACACCTATTCTAGGCATCCTATTGATTTGTTTCAATGAACACTTTTGTCCTATTTTCAGAGGGCATGCCCTGGACTGAGGTTTAAAACAAGACTCTCCCAGAAAAAATGAAGCCATCCCTTTTCTCTCTTCCTTCCCCTCCTTCCTCTCCTCCACTCCCACTCACCTGAGACTAGAGCTCAAAGACAGCCTAGAGTGCTAGAGAGCATGCGTGACTTGGGGAGGAGCAGCAGATTGTTTTGAGTCTGGGGAGGTACAGACGCTCTAAGTCAGTATGTGAGAAAGATACTGACAAAATGTGTCTGCATGTTTTCTGCACTGAAGGGCTGTCACCTCATTTTTTCTACTTTCTCTCTGGTGACTGAGTGAAGGGAAAGACTGTATAAAGTGCATATATAGAAGGGCCATTGCCCTCATTCCTACCTTCAGGTTGCTAGAACCTGTGGCCATTGGTGCCCAGTTGAGGTTCATACCACAAAAGTTGTCAAGTAATTTGTACAGAGATTCTCTGATGATACAGCTGGCCCCTGCATAAGGCCCCAGGACCTACCAAGGCTTATGTGTTTTGCTTTCCCATGTCCAAATCAAAGAGTCAGTTTTAGTACAACACATCTGACCCCCTCATTCATTCATAGACTAGTAATACAAATCAGTCATCTGTACAAAAACACATGCTACATGTCTGTGCAGTAGTGACTGGTGTGCATGGTTGACCTAGAGAGATTAGAAAAAGTCATAATTCCTTTAGGCAGAGACCTGGCTTTGAGCAGCTGTGGAGCAGTGGGCAGCATCAAGGGTTGAGCTGCTGCTACCACTGGTAGAGGCAGGGCTGGCAATGCAGAACGTACTATTTTCCAATTCCTTCTCCTGCTCCCCAGATTGGGACCTGAGGCTGGCATCCTGGTTACTCACTCTGTGCTATGCTACTGCCTAGAAGAGTGCTGAAAGGAGCCTACTCAGTAGCTCCTCTTGCTAAAACTTTCAACAGAGCATATAGGCTGCATTGCTCCAACGCATTCAAGCTTCAAGCCAGTGGAGATGGCCACATCCACAACCGGGGACCTCAGTTTGCATATTGAGCAAGCTTTCTGCAGTGCTCCCATTTATGCCCAGCCCTTCCAGGAATGACTGTGCTTCATGCAACATGCCTAGAGGAGATCTTTCTATTGTATTATATCAGCACAGGCCTAATTTGGTATAAAAAGTCCACTGCATTAACAACTATGTATTTTCAGTCATTATAATTTTACTATGCCAACACTTCAATGACAAGCAGAACCTCAGCATTCACTTTGGTGACTGCATCCTGCCAACAGATAGGTTCATATTTTGAGATGCATTTTCCTACTCTACCACCTCCTGTTCATAGATTTTCATAAAGAGTTTAGGATGTGATGTATTGCTTTTAAGCATTGCATCTACAATACAAATTAAATAAATACACATTAGGCATAATGATAATGGCTGGTGTTCCTCTGGGCTCACTCCTTGGCCTTCTGTTATATGGAGTTCACACAGTTCTATCTGTAGATTACAATGACATACAATTAGTGTTACAGAAAAAAATGTTTTGTGCTTACCATCAACATTTTTCAGCCTCTGTTAGTGACAGTGTTTTGCTGAACTAAAGAACTGAATGTCCATAAAACACCTGTGCTTTAAAGCAGTTAAAATTTAGCATTTGTAATGGTTAGCTGCCTACCCATGATAGCTAACTACCTTGAAGAACTTAAATTAAATTACTCTGCCTTTGAAAGACACATTTTGCTCTAAAGACACTATTTGTTGTTCCCATAACAGAAGGTAGTTCTTATTTATTTCTCTTTTTGCTCTAAGACAAAAAAGACACACAAATGAAATTAGAAGTTTGTTTTATGCTTTTCAGTCTGTCTCTGTTTATAGTAAAAGATGTTTTTCTGACATATTTCCTATTATCAGGAACTAATGAAAAGAACTCCAATTAGTGTCATGAATTGTTCATATATTTCTCTCATTTTAAATGTATCTGTATTTCCCATGTTTCTAATTAAAACATTCTGATTAAAGCATGTTTCTACTTTGAAACATCACTTTGTAAAATGGCATTAGGGATTCCATCCTTATTTTCCTCTCAGTGATTTCTGTACAAAATTTATAAGGAAACATTACGCTTTTTCTAGCTCCTAACTGCCAACTTAATACAGGACCAGGACATCAGGAGATGAGTGAGTCATTGTTTTGTCAGTTATTTTCATAATTAAGATTCTTTGATTTGGATTTAATAACATTTTTATGGAAGCACAAGTTGGGAGAAAACAGACATTCTAGCCCATTGCCATGCTCCAAGTGCCCTCAAATGTTGCCGTGACCAAAGGTATAGTCATAGTTCGAGATGCCTTAAATGGAGGGGTGTCTTTTTGCTTGTTGGGTGCCATGGGAATTCCCAAAGTGTGCATACAGGCACCCGCCAAAATGGGTGTGCCAGTGAGATACACACACTGAGAGAATCCCCTGCAGAGGATTCCTGCAGCGCATTTCTGAAGCAAGGGATCTGCATGGGGCTTCCTCCACTTGTGGACATGTACCCCGAGTTGGGGGTGGCATCCAGAGACATTGTCTTTCACGATTTGGCCTCCAAAGTTCCAGCAGAGGCTGAGGGACAGGGCTTCTGGTGACATCTGTAGATGCCAATGAAATAGATCAGTTCCAATGATGACATTTGGTTTTAGCCTTAGAGCTAGCCAATATGAAACACTGAGCTGAGAGGTGTCTGAACTGCTGCTTCTCTGTGGAGTTTAGATATCTGAATCAGGATAGCAAAGTAGGTGCCTTGGTGTTTTCGGGATCCAGGCCTAGAATCCTTTTTTGAATGTAGGCTCCTTACTGATCAGGGCTTGTGTAGTGCTAGTGCTGTCCATCCCTTCTATAATAGCCTACTGGTTAGATCACTCACCCAGCAAGAGAAGATCTCAGTTCTAGATTCTCCTTCCCTTAGGTGGTTCAAACCCACGTTGCTCAATCCTTAGGAGAGTCCCTAACCACCAGGCTGCGTGTGTGATGGGGAAAGGTCTTGCTGAAGCTAGGCTGCTGGAGAGACAAGAGCATTGGAATCAGAAAGGGAGACTGATTCTAAAGTGCAGTGCAGTGGCTGCCACAGCAAATTAACCCCATGTCCTCCCTGAATACCACTTCAATCCTTTTCCCCTGCCTGATCTGCTACTGTACTTTCTGTTCACTGCCCTATCTCCTACTGTGCTGCCTTCCCCCTCCTCTATCTGCTGTGTGCTGCGCAGAGAGGCTGCCGACATTTCTGGCCTGCATGCCACAGGTTGGCCACCCATGGCCTACTGGTTAGGATATTCTGTTGGGCTCTGGTGCCCCTGCCCCCTTTTCTATGCCAATAAATCTTTAATTGTTTTCTGTACCATGGAACATTTCTTAAAAGTAGCATGGGGGAGACTGGTTCTCAGCTCAGAGCAGTTTATGGCCAGGTGATCTGAGGATTCTGTAAGGAGCTGGTAAATGTGGGTGTGAATCCATTCAGACAAAGGAAATCATTGAAGGACCTTTCAGAATCTAGGCCTAAAGTTTCTGGAAGTCTGATCATTCTCAGTCTGAGGTGAGGGTAAATTTATAGGAAGCCTTTCTTCCAAATATTCTGCTGGCAGAGTTCTCAGAGAGCATTATTCTACTTTCTGTGGCTGCCACGACCTCCCATCCTTCCTCTCACCTTGCCCTACTACATTTAATTTTGATGTTTTGCCGACATCTCCAAGCATATATCTTGTCACTGCCACTTTACTCTGCTATAAATTCTGAGATCCAATGCTTTGAAATTATAATTTCATTTTTACTTTCATTTCTTAATTAATATTAACTGAATAATAGGAACACTGGGGTTTTAGAACCTATTTGCTCCAAAATATGCTGTTTTTCAGGCAAAGAACTGGGCGTTTATCCCACCATGTTGATTAGTCTTTGGACTTTATGTGCTCAACCTTAGTGGTGAGAATAGGCTTTAGTGATTAAATGTGGCTTGCATACGTACAGTAGATCATGCTGCTTCTGTGAATAAAATAACTGAAGGAGCCTGCTAACTGTGGAGTTAGATGAGAGGCCTGGAATTGGACTTGAAGCCTTCTTTGGAAGGTACAGTAGTGGAAATAATTGGACCCTGGAAGCACTGTAGGTTCTTGAAGAAAATCAAGGGCACCAGCATGATATAATTTCCCCTAGGCAATTTTTATTTAATCTGTCACTAATCTACTTAGAGAGCTCAAACACCTTATGTAAACGTGTGTCAGTCTCTCAGGTTATGATGAACCCCCTCCAAAGTTTAAGAAAATACTGTTTTTGCATGTTTAAAACACGCAGGCAGATAAGAAAAAAACCTGATATAAAACAACAACTCCAACTGGTAAAACCCCCCTAATTTTGACAGGATATTAATTGTAAAAAATAATTACAAAACATTTCTGAATCCTCCTCTTATTTTGGCACCTTTAGCACTTTCAAACATTTTAGAGCCTATGTTCATCTTTTTATAGAAATATATTGTTTTGCATGTTGAGAGCAAACTTAGAAGCACTCCATTTCTGATACCATACCAGTGATAAACAGCTTTGGATTCAACTGTGTAATAATTTTGTATCATATACAAACTATTGACACCTCACTATTTCTCTTTTACAGATTATTTATCAGCATGTTGAACTACACATATCCCAGCACAAACCCTTGCTCCTCTCTCACCTCCACTGTTTACCTTCTTCCATTGTGGAAAATGACCATTTAGTCATACCTTCTTTCTTTGTTGATCTTTTTACCAATTTTTTGAATCCATGCCAGTATTTTCTTTCTGATCCAGAGGCATAACCACATAGTTCTGTGCCGTGGGTGGTGGCACATGGAGTGGTGTCCAAGAGAGCAGTGACAGCAGCTATTTTTGGGCATTCCCCTGAGTTGGTCCACATGGCTAGTGTCCCCCTTAGTTATGCTCCTGCTCTGATCCCAGGACAGCTTAGTTTTTTTAAGAGCCTTCGGTAAAGAACTTTGCCCATAGCTAACTAACTTATATCAACTGGACCCCCTTTGTCCACATGCTTGTTTATACCTTCGAATAGCTCAAGCAGATTGCTGAGATATGATTCCTTTCTACAAAAGTCATGACTCCTTCTCAGTATATCATATTTATCCTATGTGATACAATTCTTCATTATTGATGGATTCTATCAATTTTATGAAAACAGAAATTATACTTATCAATGTGAATTTTAGTTTTATACCCTTCAGGATGCAGGGTTGGTAGCCTAAGGACAGGCTTCATTTTTTTTTAAGTTTTATTTTTTTTTCAGGGAAATAAAGAAAGGTAAGAAAATGCATATAGCAGTACAACAGAAATAAGACCAATCAGTACCCACTAGGCAGGATTTCTGTGAGGATTACTTTAAACGTCTGCAAAAATAGTCTCTTTCCTAGTCTAAAGGGCAGTTTTATAGGTGTTCTGAGAGTGGGGAGAAAAGGGGCGCTTTAATTAGGGTGGCTCCGAAAGCCGCTCTAATTAAAGCACCCAGAGCATCTCATGTATCAGTGTCCTCATGCTTCAAAATGGTGGTGGGGGTATTTCATCTAAAGCTTATTGAATGAGTTTTAGTTAATGTGGTCTCACCACCATTTTGAAGTGGAAGGACACTGATACATGAGACATGGAAGCTGGCTGGTAATTATCACGCTGCAGCAGACTCGATTAATTGAGTCTGTCCCAATGTGCTGTAATTACAGTGCATTGGAGCAGCCTCCCATCTCATATATAGGCACCCTTTATTAATACTTAGGAGACTATGTTAAGGAGTAATTTAAGATAGGCACAGATCCAAAATAGGAGCCAAGATAACTGTGTTAAGAGACAGGCTGGGCTGTGAAGTTTCATTTGACACAGGAATTCATTTATCTTATCCTACAAAGGGGGTATCCGATATACTGGGATATTTATTTTCAATCAGCAGGTTCAGCCTTAGCTCATTAACCTCTGTAATGTACTCTGTAGATATGAGATATCACCTAGCAACCTCAATGGAGGGGAAAGGTAATCCTTATTAACTAAACATGTTAATTATGTGTCTCAAAAGGGCTTTAATGCTATAATGCACTGTATAAATGTTATTGTGATGTCAACCTAGGGCCAGATCCTCCACTGGAATAAATCAGTGTATTCCCATCGAAACATTAGGTGTACACCAGGGATCTCAAACTCAGCATACCCGGCAGCAGCAGGGCAAGCAGTGACAATGATGGGACAAACTGCAGCATCAGGGCAAATGGAACTAGTGGTGCTGTATAGATACAGCAGCTGCTTGCCCCCTTCTGTTGGACTCCATAGCCCTTGATTCTGTAACAGGCCCTGCCCCTCTCCACCCCCCAGCTTACTAATTCCATGGGTACACCAGGAGTCCTGTGGGCCAGAGGAAATGGCTCCACAGGCCAGATATGGTCCCCAGGTTGTAGATCTGCTACCTCATTTTTTATCACCAGATATGGCCCTCAGGCTGTATATTTGCTACCCCAGCTGCACACCACTTTTTATCACAGAAGACAGTCCCCCCGATTTCAGGAGTCCTGTTTTAAGGACTACTGAAGCCAGTGGGAGTCTCTCTCTTGACTGCAATAGGCTTTTATGCATCATTTCCCCTAGACCTCAGACATATCACAGCTTTCCATGATCTTCAGACAATGTTTGAACAGGCCTTTATCCTACTGTTATGTATTAAACTACTTCAGCATAACAATATGAGGCCAGTGACACCAGCATAATGAATTAAATAGTGAGTCAAATCTCAAGCTGAGACTTACTATCATGGCTATTTCCCCAGAATCAGAATTGCTCTCATTTTTTTCAAGTTAGTAATATCTGGACTTTTTCCCTTATTATTATTTAAATCTAATAGCTGATTTGGGGTAATCTAATTAGTATCTTTGCTGTTATGATATTTGAATAGAAAAAAAGAGTAATATAAAACTAAGCAGTGTAACAGGAAAGCACAGAGAGTTGGAAAACTGCTATACATGAAGTCCTAACTTGCTTCAGAAGTTTTTTTAAAGTACAAATCCTTGGCTGGAAAGCAAGCATTATAAAACAAATTGTAGGTAGTGTCTAAACTGTAAATAGCACTTCAAGTTTTTCTTCTTGAAGTGCTGCCTTCTCCCATACATCTGTAATTATTTAGAATTGTTATTTGGAACTGTGTGACACTGCCCTTGATTTACTCACCATTTTCTCTTTAGTGGCAAAGGGAAATCTGTATATCGGAACATTTAGCTTTAGTAAATCACCTGAAAATGGCAATGGATCATTTTGTATCCTGTTTGTCCTATAAACTAATTGCCTCCTTGATTTTTAACAGGGAACTTCCACCCAGGTGAGCTACCTGCCAGTCTTCCTATCTATATTTTTTTATGTTAAGTGCTTCATTAATGATGATTAATTATGTTAGAGATTGAAATAAGTAATTGCTTGCACTTTTTGTCTCTCAGAGATTTTGTTTACCAGTGCTTCTGGTACGCATTAAAATGTAGATCTATGTAAAGTTAAACATTTCAAGTGGAAGGAATAGCTCCATTTTCTTTTTTAAGAATATATATATATATATATATATATATATATATATATGGGGTTTTTTTGGTCCCAGCTGTTTATTACACTACAGGAATGTAAAGAAGTGTAATTCTGGTGTGTCTACAGGCAACATTTGAGTGACATAATTGAACTGTGGTGCTGAGACTGTTGTAATTACATTAATTTTAATTATATACAGTACATTTTAATTACAGAGTCTGAGACAGAGTGACTCCCATCTATTAAGATCCTCTGTGATTCATTTGCATAATGGGCCCCTATTTCTGAGTGCAGTGTTACACTTCTTGATGGCTTCATTATCTGTGAAAGGTGAAATTTCTAATTCATTTTCATTTGTGTTTTCAGCAAGCATGTTTGAAAGAAACTTTCTTCCTTACACAGAAAATGTGCACATTAAAACCTGATTTTAAAATTAGAAAAAGACATATTTTATACCGTTCCCCACTGAGGAAGGTAGGCATAAGACTAATTTGAAGAACCCAAAGATAATCAACCTTGGGGATTCTGGGGTGGTTCCATGTGGTGCAAACACTTGAACTAACTCATTTGCACAGAGTATGAATAAGATCCAACCTATGTACACCATATAAATATCTACATTAAACATGAATGGGACCAAGTTGAGTCATACACAGGTTATTTCTGCTGTGAGAACAGAAGGATCTATAAAAATATATAAGACAGCTATATGTAGTGGTATGCCAGGATTAAAACACACGCTTTCTCCTATCCCATCAGGCAACTTTGAATTATATTATACCAATATTTTAGTTCCTTATTATGCCTCTATCAGAAGATCAATAATCCAGCTTTAGAGTCTAGTCCACATGGAAGAACACTAACAAAAGGCACAAGAGCTTTACTACCATCCCGACCAGCAGTTACCATTAATGCATTTTGACATGTGTGATACCACTAGTAATACATTAGCTCAGTGGTGCTCAGCCTTCCAGCCCTGCATGCCAGATGAGTGACATGGGACTGGCTGGATCCCAACTTCCTTACACATTCTGCTACTTTTCTTTCTAATTCCTGTCCAGTGCTCCCTGCCTGATCTGCTGTTCTGCTTTCTGCTCCCGGCCTTATCTGCCTCTGTTTTCCCTGCTCCCTTCTGGATCTGCCATATGCCACACAGAGGCTACCTGTGACACATGTAGCATGCATACTATGGGTTGGCCACTTCTGGGCTAGTGGAATCTACTGACCCCAGCTAGGTCACTAGGCTTTTTATACAATGCACGAGGATAACTAGGGCCCAAATCCTATTTTATCTCTAAGGTGAAGGGCCTAAATAATATTTCCCAGACTATTCCACCCTAGTTAAGGCCATGAAAAATGTTAATGGAAAAAGTAGGGGCTCCTCTTCTGTCTGACTGTTTTTGTGAAGACTTTAATCTTGAAGACTGATGTAGCAGGATTAAAAAAAATGGACCCACCTGAAAAAATGAGAAGGGCTGTCCTGCAGAGAGACAGAGTTTGTCCCAACGGGGACACTGTAGGCTCTGAGGGCAAGTGAAGCTGTTTGGAGGCAGCCCTATTGGAAGTGGGAGGGGTGATGTAACCCCGGCAAAGTTTTGAAATAGGGCTGTTAGCAAAAGCCTGGGAAGGGCCCTGGCCTGGGATTGGTTGAGAGGCTTGGATAAAAGTGGGGAGCAGTTTTCCCACCAGGGGGAGAACAAAAGAGAGAGAGAGAGGGGCTGAGGATCAGGCTGGAGAGAGGATCTCAACACAGTGGTCCCTTGGGGAGCCCTGCAGAAGCAGCAGCAGAGGCTACACCGGGAGTGATACATTATCCAGTTCCTCTCTCCGGCCCGGAGCACTGTGGTGGCAGGACCAGAGAGGGGCTGCTTGTGTGGAGACTCTGAGCTTGGGAAGACCCACCTGCACCCCGGTGTGGCTGGGTGAGCACAGCAGAGACAGGGGGAGACTGCTGGAAACTGTCCTGTTTTCCCTGGTGGGTGAGGGGCCCCGGGGCAGGCAAGGCCCAAGGAGGGCTGTGTTTGCCAGGGCTGTGAGGCTGCGTGGGTCAGGAAAGCTGCTACAGCCTGCAGCCCAGACACTGCTCCCTGCTGAGCCAGAGAAGGGGGGTCAGAGGCAGGGGGAGGCTGTCTTCCAGGGACTGCAGAGGAGGAGCCTCCACCTGCTGCCTGGAGACCTCTGGAGCACGGAGAGGGACACCAGCACCAGGGAGCGCCCAGAGACCCTGCGCAGGGACACAGACAGTTCCGCTCCCTGAGACACCCCACCAGGGGCAGTGCACACAGGATCCCCAGTACACCATGTGCAAGTGAGAGACTGTGTAAATAAGTTCTTGAGGGTTTATTAATTGGTATATCAATGTGTTTATGTATTGGTTACTTGTTATTTTGTAAACAATTACATCTTGTAAATAGTTTTATAACTGTCTGCGAGGGTGCTTGATTGTAAGGGGAGGCTCGCTGCTCGGGGACCCTGCAGCAGCTTCCCGGGGGGCTGGGCAGGGCTACTGGTTACCGGGTACCCCAGGATCCCACTATTTAGGTGAGGGCGTGTGTAGTGTCATGCCCAGGGATACACTAAGATGAATGCATGTTACAAAAGCTTGGTTTTTCTCGAGATATCTTGGAGGAGAATCAGGATTTTGACTGTGGATCTCTCTGTTTAAAGAGAGAGATCCTAGAACTCAGAGGTTTTCAGAACCTGGCTAGATAAAGCTTTGGCTGGGATGATCTGGTTGGGGATGGTCTTCCTTTTAGAAAGGGGTTGAACTAGATGACCTCCTGAGGTCCCTTCCAACCCTAATTTTCTATGATCCTGATTCTAAGCCCTCAGTCTGAGAAAGTTGAGAAGCATTGGTAAAACTCCTTGAAGAGAGTTGAGGCACCTAATTCCAGAACCAAATTCCACAATCCTACTTCCTCTGAGGATTATCTTTTGCATATGCACCCTGGGGTATATTCATAAATGCAGATGGAAGAAGTGTAGCATTGCTTTTTTACTCAATGGTTTATAGGCCTCAACTAAGTATGAGAGATCTGGATTCTCTCCCTATGGCTGAGGAGATTCAGAATCACAATGCATTCCTCCCTAGGAGAATGTCCTGACCACCAGCTTTTAAGGTATTAAGCATTTATGTATTTTGTATTAAATCTTAGAGCAGGGCTTGGAACCCAAGTGTCCTATTTATTAGGTGCATGCCTTAAACCCTATTCATAGTCATGCTTACTCCCTCTTTAGTCAAGTGATATTTAATCACTCAATTCCATGCAATCATGGAGGTAAGGGTCAACAAGGCCTGACATAAGGTACTGTAATATACACTAAAAGTTAAGTTTTACTGTTATCATTGTATAATTGTTCTTTAAAATACACTATTAACAGAAAGGAAGATAAAACCATTCATCAAATTTATTGTCATCCTCAAGAGAGAAAGGGGCTTTAAAAACAACTATTTATACCAGTTTAAAGGCTAATGAAGCTTGAAGCTCTATATTACTTGCCTGTTGCTGAATTGCTATTTCCATAAAATTCTCCTAAAATTATACCTACATCTGCTAGTAGAAGAGTTGAAAAATCAATTCTTACCCATTTTCATCAAGTCAGTCTTTAAATATTGCCATAGCACAATCAATCTGCTGTTTTTCTGAGATAAGTTAACATATTAAAAATTAAATTGGAATAATTTTTTTTAACTTGACTCTTTTTTATTTTAATCTCTTCCTTATGATGGATTTTGCTTTGTCTGCACTGTAGGCCATGAATTGGAGTTGAGGTCAGAGATCTGGTCACTTAAATGTTCTGGATTTTTTATTATTATTTTGCTTATAACATTTGTGAGACTGATAGCTCTGATTACTGAGGTTATCCATCAGTGCTTTGAGCTCTAAGTAGCCAATCAAGTTTGAGAGTTTCATTTTACAATCTCAATTAGAACCCTGTATCACCAGTCAATTAACAAATAAATAGAGATGTGCTGACTCATTTGGCAAATTAATGGGTCCTGGCAGTGAAGGAGAATGGACAGAACAGGTGTTTGATGTCTTTCCTTTGGTAACTAAATCACAAAAAACTGGGATTATATTTGAGAGCAGGTATAATATCTGAAACAAAAAAAATTTCTGGTGCATTGGCTCACATCAGTCATATTTCATCACTTACTCAATTTCAAGTAGCAGCTCAACAACCATATTTGTCCAAAGAGGGGCTGGCATGATTATTTTTGAAAAACAAGTTACCTGATGATATTATTACATTGCTTGCATACAAGTAGAAATGTAGATATACATATGTATGTATATACATATGTATGTATATTGCGTATACACATGCATACACACATGTACACATACATATGTATACACACACACACAAGGGGTTGTGTAGTACTCTAATGCCCTAACTGGTCCCGTCGGTGTCTAAATGTGCATTACTGCAGAGTGAAAAACTCTGCCATAGGATAGTACTTGTAATTACAAGTAGTAACCTGCAGTGGAGTTAATTAGTTTACTCCTTCCTAATAGCACTGCATGTATAGATGCCAAGATGTTTACTGTGGAGCTAATTAGGCAACTCCACAGTAAACATGTCATATAGATACACCCTTTGTGGGCAAGAATCTACCGGCTACACCCTAAGTTCCCTGTGAACACTGAAGCTCATTGAATCATTGTTGTACCTCCAGAGCTACATTGTTGTATAGCCCATGAAAGGACAGAGAAGTTATCTTATCCACTCAATGTATCCATGACCTTCTGTTGAGAACAAGTTTAGTCCCATAATGCATTATAACAGCTGACACAGAAAGTGAGGAGAGAGCTGTATGTTACAGAAAGTAGAGTCGTGTGTTCCAGCTGAGATTGAAGGAATTGGAGTAGCTATCTCTCTTTCTCTTTCTCTCTCTCACTTTCTCACACATGCACACTTCTGGGTGAATGAAGGATTATAGGTGACTCTAAAAGAAAATACATTGCACAGTGTTAGTAAGGCTTATAGTAAATTATATAGTTGTGTGATAACATAATATGGCTCTTTTGGTCCACAGATCTCAGAGTGTTGTACAAATGACTTAAGTTTTACAACACCCCTGTGGGCTACTACCATTACTATTTCATATAAGATGATGATCATAGATCACAATAAGCTGTGGATAATAAGTCTGTGAAAAGTCAGTAGGCTAATTTTTACCTCCTCAGAAATGAGAAATACAGTATGATTGAAAAATTTTGCTCTTACAATGTCTGTATATAACTTGACTGGCTACAAATTATTTTATTCAAACTTCCTTGTGCCCTCTAGACATGTCAGTTTCTTTAATAACTTGATAAGCACAATAATCCATCTAAATATAGGTGTTATATTGTACCTTTTGTATCTAAGAATAATCCACTTCATTCTAGGATTTGATAATGTCAATATATATTAACATATATATTGATTTTTCAGTTTTATGGTATTTTTTTTAATGTGTGAGTAATGTTTAAAATTACAGCAATGAGAATTATTTTAAAGCTGGCTTAACTGTTAAAGGCAGAAGTTTGTTTTGGTTGGTGACCATGTTGGGTTCAAGTCAGTTTTTTTAACTTCTGAATCTGATCAAGCCACTGCTGAGAACTCAGTGAATGTAACATGTGCAGAAGTTAACATGTGCTTGACTGTAAAATGTGCCCTCCAGTAGCATAAGGATGGGTGGGTGAGGGAACATGAGCTCTGCAGATGTCTAAGATGGGAGGAGCATACTAGAATGGAGTAGGGCATGCCTCACCCTCCTGTCCCCCACTCTCTCACTCCTCCTCAGATTCCAGCTTCCAGCAACCTTTCAGCTTCAG